CTAGGAAATTTTACTTTCACAAACGGGGGTTTCTTAAAATAATAAAAAAATAAAATAATTGACTTCTTGTGAAATAGAACATTTATTTAAATCACTTAGATTAATTGATAATAAAAATGTGCTTCTTTCTTGAGTAAATATGATGAGATATTTCATGCTACCTTTTCTTTTTTTAAATTGCATTATCATTATTATTTTATTATTATTTTTATGTGTTTTTTTTTTTTTTTTTTTGCTCTTTATCCTGTATATTCAATGTGAATGTTGTGTACAAGAACTATATTACTATATTATAAGTTGTATTATAGAGTTTCTTGGAATAAAATAAAAAAAATCGCTTGACTATCTTCCAACTTTCGCTTGAATACGAGTGCGCAAGTGCTGTGACCAAGTTAAAATCATAATAAATGGCTCCCTCTTGTGTTGTAACATAACGTTTACAAGATTAGACGTCTAACATACAGGATTCAGATGTACAAGTACGTACAGGTGCGTTATGTTAAATATTTAGCTTTGCTAATCTCGTTCATAAACCAAGGAATTCCATATTCATTGACAGAAATAATCTGTCTACTTGTGCATTATTATGACCATCTTCTTTCATAAAATCGCACGCGCAAAGACACATAACCACCACTAGAAGGCAGCAAAAGACAAAGCATCCACCAACAGTCAACATTTTATCCAGACTCACTTCTCCCACTCTCAGTTCATTGGAAAGGTGAGTAAAAATCAAATAAAACACCCAAATCGCGCATTTTTGTTGCAGAACTACTTAGAGTTTACTCAATACTGTTCCTTTTCCAAACCTGATAAATGGCAAATCCTATGAACATCCACATATAGATTAAAGAATGTCAACAGACTGCAGAGTTTCCAACAGCAGAGCATTCATTTATTTATTTGGGGGGGGGGGGGGGTCTGACAATGAGACACAGCAATGCTATTCAAGGGCTTCTAGAGGACAGAGAACACTGCTCGGTAATGCTTATCTGTCATTGGCTGTCAGCTGCTGTTTTCATGGTCCAGCACATTCAACAATTAGGCCTTGTGCATCAATGTTTCTATTCAAAAGCAGACCAAATCAAGGACTAATAAGGAGGGAAAATAAAGGGATGATGAATCGAGTGGAGGAAATTGAATGAGGGAGTGAATGTTAAAGAGAAAGCGAGAGAGAAATGGTAAAAAGTATGTATCAAAACAACAAAACAAGAGTCAAAGTGGATGTTTGGCTAGTAAACAGAAATTGAGGAAAACTTTTACACAAACTGTAACTAGCCAGACCACACCTGTGCATTCCACGCAGAAGTTTAAATCAGCCTTAACACAGCGGGGTCATGTGACAACACGCAGTAGGGAAAGTAATCGAAAACATTGACCTGGAAAAATGTAATCGATTATAGGTTATGAATGTTGATTTCGATTACTTTTCGATATAATATTGTACAGCTTCCTAATAAAAATAAGAATTTAAAATATAGATTTGTTAGGGGTGTACTTGTATATGCTGAGCACTGTAGGCTACAGCATACACTGAACACGGAGTCCTGAAAATGTTACATAACACAAGAGCTTTTCCCCACTTGAACCAGTTAACCCCAGTTCATTAGCAACATTTTCACTGTTGGATGAGTGCAAGCTGAGGCTAACAATGAGCCTTGTGGAGCAAAGGATTTCAGACCATGATCAGCAAGCCTGCCTTTCCACAGTCAGACAAGTGTCTAACAACATATTATTGTAATTATATTTTGTTGTTTTTTAATTATGCCTTTTTGTCAGCTTTGCTCCAAAATCACCCTGATGTTTTAATTATGTTCGAAGTGAACACATTTATTTAATCATGCCTGCTTCCATTTATTTGTCATGACTGAAATGCACAAAAGCGTTCAAGCAGTTTTTTTTTAAGTATAAAAGGTATGTCTAAGTTCTAATTGTCTTGTTTTCATAAGCACAGCAACACATTTATTATGCCAGTGGTTAATGTACAATATCTTTACCATAAATTGTGATCGAAGTTCAGATCAGATTGCAGTCAGGAGTTATTTAAAACACAAGCTAGTGCCTGAAAGTAGGTTTTGGTCCTCTTTGAAAAAGATATTTGACAGGTTAGTTTCTGCAATAATTCAAAAACCAATGGACAAATGCAGCTGGATTTTAGTCAGTGGCACCACAGTAATGCTCATTAAAGCAACCATTAGTCCAGTTTTCATTATCACAAGGAAATTCATCAGAAATTCATTCATTTTATTTTTATGACACACATTTATATGGATATACCTTATTAAATATTATTGAAGTCGGCCATGTTGGATCCAACTTTTGTTTTTTCAATAGGAAGAGGGTTATTTGACACATCGAACTTATTGGGTATTTCACAAGAAAAGCAATGGTGTGCTAGGTTTTAACATAACTTTATTCTTTCATAAGTTATTTGCAAGTTTCTTAACACTTAGAAAATGTGTTCAATGTGCTGCCCATTGTGTTGGAGGGAAACGCATCTTTATGTAGCAATTTCAAATATCCAGTAGCCTTGAGGTTTCCATTGATGAAGAATGGCCCAACTATCTTTGTTGTCTATGGTGTGAAGAGACAAGATGTGCAGCACAATAACTCACCATTGTTTATCTTGTGAAATTCCCATATAAGTGTGATGTATCAAATGACCCACTACCTATTGAAAAAACAAAAATTGGATCCAAGATGGTCATCTTCAAAATGGCCACCATGGTCACCACTTATCTTGAAAAGTTTGCCCCCTCACATATATTAATGTGCCACAAACAGGACTTTAATATCACCACCAACCATTACCATTTTATTAAGGTGTGTCCATATAAATGGCCCACCCTGTATATATTTATTCATTCATTCATTCATTCATTTTCTTTTCGGCTTAGTCCCTTTATTAATCAGAGGTCGCCACAGCGGAATGAACCGGCAACTTATCCAGCACGCGTTTTACGCAGCGGATGCCCTTCCAGCTGCAACCCATCTCTGGGAAACATCCATACACACTCATTCACACTCATACACTATGGACAATTTAGCTTACACAATTCACCTGTGCCGCCTGTCTTTAGACTGTGGGGGAAACCGGAGCACCCAGAAGAAACCCACGAGAACGCAGGGAAAACATGCAAACTCCACACAGAAACGCCAACTGACCCAGCCGAGGCTCGAACCAGCAAACTCCTTGCTGTGAGGGAACAGCACTACCTACTGCGCCACCGCGTCGCCGATATATATTCAATTCATCTTTATTTATATAGAGAGCTTTTACAATGTAGATTGTGTGAAAGCAGCCTAACATAGAGTATCTAGTAGAAGTTTAGATTGAACTTCAGCCGGTCAGTTTTCAGAGTTCAATTTGTTTAGTTCAGTGTGGTTTGATTTTCACTGCTGAAAGTCAAAATACTGAAAAGCAAATCCATCAATGTGCAGCTCCACAAGTTTCACACAGGGCTACAGCGTCAACGCTTGACTCAAGGTGTGTCTAAGGTTGGAGCTGACGCGATCGTCATAGCAGCGTCAGCAAATGGAATTCAGTCAGCAATAGGCCACTGTCTAGCTGGCGTATTTACATACAGCAATCTGACTAGCTGATGCTTCCGTTGGCGCTTGAAAAGTTGAGCTAGTCCCAACTTCTGCAGCGAGCAACACCTCTGAAATGGTCCACAATGCAGTTTGGCAATGCCTGACATCACCCATTCAAAGTGAATAGGAAGCGTTGACGCTGATGCCCCATGTGAATGGGGCGTAAGGAACTCTGTCTGCAGCCTCGTGCAAACCCTGTGTATACTATATATATTGATGATCTCAGCTTATCTAACAAAATAACTTACAATAACGGTCCAAAAACTACTACAACCAAATGTATGTTATAGTAAATATTACATACAAATTAAAAAAAAAAAGAGGAACATCAAATGAAAATTGTTGAAATTTTGTAGGTGGCATTTATCATTATTCTTTTGCAATATTTTGCTTTAACTTAAATGTATTATCTTTTCATTTCTAAATATGTTTGGTGACTAAAATATTATTTGAATAAATATCTCTGCACCAAAAATGCACCAAAATACATGCCTATATTCATTGAGAAATAGGGGGAAATTCATTTTCAAAATGGAGTGTACTCAATTATGCTGAGCATTGTGTACATAAAAAATTTAGGTTGATGCAAACATAAATAAACTCAATGTTGGAAAAATGATTTCAGTTATATTTAAATTACATCTAGCCCAAAGGCTGGGTTTGGCCATATTTGAGTCAACATTTGGTTACAACAACACAGCATGTTTTTTTCTTTTTTCTTTTTCTTTTTTTTTCTTTTTTGATGAAAAAAAATGCCTGGTGGACAACAATGAATAGCATTTATCTAAAATCAGATTATTTGTAACACTGCAAATGCAAATGTATGTTAAACCAAACCCTTGGTTTAAAAAGTGTAACTTAAATCTAATTTAATAAGTCCAATCATGGATTAGTCCTTATTTGACCCAACATTTGGTTATAATGACCCAGAGTGTAACAAACTAGGCACACTGTTAAAATGTTTAGTAAATTACACAGTACTTAACTTTAATATGAACTGCATTTACTGTATGACAGTTATGCAGTATGTTACTGTATTTTAAAGTTGCATTGTGAAAGTTAGTGTACATTTTACAGCAAAGATATATAATATATAGCAAGATATATGATGCTGTAAATATTTTTGCTGTAATTGATTTACAGTAAGTCACTGCTGCCATTAAGTTACTGTAAATTCTACAGGAAATTGTTAACAGTGTAGTGTATCCAAAGTTTCCAACAATTATAATAATAAAATCTTCTTGAATCAGCATATCAGATTAATTTCTGATGAATCATGCTACAATGATGGATAGAATAATTGCTGCTGATTTCAGACAATCAGAGTATTTTTGATAAGACATAAGAAGTGCAGCTTGGTGAGCATTAAAACTTTCTTTGAGATTAAAAAAAAAAACTGAACTCACCAATTTCATGACCAAGTGATGAGTTTAGTATTGCCCCTGCTGACGCCACCACAGCACACGTCCTGTACTTCTGCTGCAGTGGAGGAGAAACCAGCTGTTTAAATCCCAGATCGGCAAAAGGCTGCTCAGTGCCATTCAGAGTCCTGATCTGGGCTTGCTCTTTCATCTGACACAACAGCTCCTGCTTGCTTTTGTTCAGCTTACGCTGGCCTTTGTATAGAACTCTGTGCTTATTAGTGTGAACATGGTCCTTCATGGCTCGCTGCAGTTTTGCACTTAGCATCCTGGAGGACACATGCCCCTTCCACAAACCCCGGACCACCGACCAGGGATTGGAAAAATAGTCATCTCTATCATTATCTTCAGGTGGAATTATCTTGGACTTCTTTACGCCAAGCCCACGACGATCAAATTTCCTAAAATAAAAATATTCTTTAGCATGAGGAGGTAAAAACACTTGTCTGCGTTGATAAGGACCTCTTCTTTCTGCAAACACACCCCAGCGGGCATTACTGGATGACTTGATAGCCCTGCCACTATGCTGAGAGTAGGTTGAGCGCGAAGATTCAGAATTGAAGGAGGAAACAGTCTTAGGGTTCTGGTTCAATTGGAAGTCAGCGAAGTATGTGAAGACGAGGAGTGCGAGCAGCATCCAGACCAGCAGGGCCAACAGCAGAACTTGAGCCGACTGCTTCATGGCATGTTGCACTCGGAGCAGTCGAGAATCCTGGACCACCATCACTTAGTTCTACCGCTTTCACCCTAGAGGGAGGCAGAAAGCGGAGACACTTAAATTAGGGTGCACAGACTGTAAATAAAAGTGGAATTGTTAACCTAAATGTAGTAAATCAGAATAGTTCTGTTAAAATACAATTTATAAACCAGTTAAAGCAGTGTACTGCAGGTTTCTAAGAGTAATATTGAAGACTTTAAGACCCTTTTACAGTTTTTGTTTAATAGGTTTGGTACTAATTTCATAAGTTTACATTTACATTTGGTACAAAACTTTAAACTGATCACACTTGTAATACCACTAGTCATTCTTTCAAATCTGATGTCTTGATTTCGCTGTAGTTGCACATATTTTAAAATAGGCTCATTCTGAAAAAAGCAGCCTTATATACATTTCTGGAGATTGCGAATTGTGCAGCCAGATGTACGTTTAGCTGCATTTCGTCTTTAAAACAAATGCTACGGGGCGGTTGGCAGTGACAACGGGGTTCGAGTTCGTCAAACAACGGTTCCCGAAAGTGGCAAAAACAGACCAAAACAGAAGCCAAAAATATAAAATAAATAATTAAATAACAGGGTGAGAATCTGAAAATGTAGTAAATATGAGGCGAGGGCTTTTCTTTTTCTGGATAGCTTTGGGTTTGTCGGTTGGGTTTAGGAAAGAGGGTGGGCACCGGTCAATCTGTTCTTTCGAAAACACTATCCATTAGATTTAGGGAAGGGGAAGGGTGGGTCAGTCAATCATTCAGTCAGTTAGTCAGTCAGTCAGTCAGTCAGTCTACAGCAGCCTCTGGTGGATTTACACAACAACAACAACAACAACAGGCGTAAACGGCACTCACAAGAGAAATTTAAGATCTCAAAAAAACGTACACAGCAGCCTCTGGTGAATTTGCACAAGAACAGCAGGCACAAATGGCACTCGCAAGTTTTAGATCTCAAAAAAATTTACATCATTGTAATATTGAAAACATTTGGTTTATTCACTGAAACACAAGATGAAGATCTTTTTTCAACTTAGTATTTTTAACAACCATTTTTCAAAACAGACATAAACCTGACAAATTACCTTTGCCAAGGGCACTTACACAACCTGACATTTGTGGATGTAACTACAGTACAGTGTTGTAAGGTTTGCCAAAGTAGTCCTGAGCCCATTTGGTGATACCGCTTATAGATGAATAGTAATTTCTTGATGCAGTGAAACCATAGATATATACACACACTAGACATCGTATAGGGACCCTGAGCATGCGTCAATAGCGCCGCCACATTAGTACAGTGCTCCCAGGACAAGTGTCATTCAACTGCACTAGTCAAGACAGTGTTATTACGTGAAGATGCGGGACTTTAGCGCTGTCTACGGGTGTAGTAACGAGCAAACAAAGAAAACAAAGCACAAAGGCAGAACATTTCATAGGTAATATTAAGTTTTTTACGTTTTTGTATGTTCTGAACTTTTGTGCCCTATTATTGATTATCATATACAGTCGCTTACTGCATTCACCATAAGGCAAAGTAGCTCCAACTCACACTAAATACTCGGCTTATGCTAGTTTTGTTGAATAGAATCAGCAAACAATGCAAAAGAAATATGACAACGAGATGCTGCGGTGCCAGAAACTTGTATTACTGTCAGCCAGTAAAGGAGTCATTCATAACGGAGATTCATTCACAAACGAATCACTCGCTCCGTCAGTATGAGAAGTGAAAGCAGGAGAGGAGGTGTGTTTCAGGACATGATTATATCAAATTTAACAGGGAGGGTGGATAGTACATTTCTGTACACACAAACACAAGCTTTTTGTCAGGAATGCCAGTGCGATCACTGATCCATCAATGTAAAAAAGTGATTATAATTTTTCGTAATTTAAAAAAAAGGGATAGTAACATCCAGGAAAATTCCTGATCATAGATATATGTGTATATGTGTATATCTCTGGGTCTGGATGGCCACAGTCCTCCACTGCAGCTTGGTCCCGCATTAATTTCAAAGGAGTGTTACCCTGTTCCAAAATGGCAGCTCTATTGACACATTCCTTCCAATAGACAACAACAGGGTAGGCGACATCTAATGTATATATCTATGCAGTGAAACCCAAGGAAGCGAAGTTTGTTTAGGCTTGCACTCTTGTCCTCAATGCAATGAAGTTCCTCAAATTCCTTGAATCTTTTAATAATGTTATGCACTGTTGAAGGTAAAATATTGAAATGTCTTCCTATATTTCTTTGCGGAACATTGTTTTTAAACATTTCAAAAATGTTCTCACATATTTTAAAGCAAACTGGCAATTCTTGGCCTCTCTTTGCTCCAAAAGAACTAAACCGTTCTTAGATTCTGCCTGTCTCACTTTTTTTTTTAAATGTGTTGCAAGAACCAAAATAGGAGTATGTGTTTATTGTGGAAAGAAATAAACAATACAATATCATGAGGAACACATTAAATAATGTTTGTTGTATTGTTTGCAATGAAATACATGTCTAAGTCCATCTAAATACCACCACTTTTTTTCTTTTTTTCTTTTTTTTTCATTGTTACTGTCCCAACTTATTGTGATTTGGAGTTGCAAAAAGGAGTAGGCTAGAATATAAAAAGGAGCACAAAGCTATAAAATGTAAAGTCATGCTGTTATTTTCAAGAGTTTGGGGCATGACTTAGAGAGACTGATGTACTGCATGGGAAATGGAATGCAGATTTGTTTACAGAAGTGCTAGCCGAAATGTGAAGATTAGCCAAACTTCAGAGACACAAATACAGACAAAACAAGGATAAACAATCAATAGAGATGATTTGGAATTTGATTGAATGTTTAGGTTTCAGATGAAATGTAAAATTTGTCAGTATCATTAAAAGCTAAACTAAATGTTTTTACCACATGTTAGTGTTTTCCTCAGAGGAACTAGATAAAATAGTAAAACACTGGGTATCACTTTTGCATATTTACTTAATACCTCCTGATACTGCTCCACCATAAAATATTCTCCAGACTATAAGAAACTTTGTAAGTACATGTAAGCTTACAAAAACCCTAACCATAACGTTGCTTTCTACAAATACTAAAATTACAATTAGTTGAGAATTAGAGAATACTCACATGGTCGCCCACTGAAGCCAAGCAGGGCTGTGCCCAGTCAGTACCTGCATGGGAGACCACATGGGAAAGCTAGCTTGCCTCCAGGTTTCCCCCACAGTCCAAAGACATGCGCTATAGGTGAATTGGATTAATTAAATTGGCCATAGTGTATGAGTGCATGTGTGAATATGAGAGGGTATATGGGTGTTTCCCAGTACTGTGTTATGGTTGGAAGGACATCATCGTGTAAAACATATGCCGGGACACTTGGTGGTTTATTCAGCTATAGTGATCCCTGATAAATAAGCGACTAAGCCGAAGGAAATGATTGAATGAATGAGTGAAGAAGAGTACATTTTGATTGAAAAGGATAATCAAAATAAATACCAAATACTGTAAAGATACGCATAATCTTAAGAAAAGATGTGGTAAAAGTAGGCTGTTGTTTGACAAAATTATTCAATTGATTGATTTATTTTTATGATTTGATGAGATTTTGACAGCTTTTGCTGACTCTGTACTGATTTGCTTGTGGTTAGATTTTTGTTTACGTTTGAGTAGTGTCCTGACTAAGCTATGCTTCACCACCCACCGTAGAAGAAAGTGAAAGGAATAATGTCATGACATACAGCTGAAAGGGGAAATTGGGGAAAAATATAGAGGGAGGCTAATAATTCAGGAGGGATAATAATTCTTCAACTGTACATACTGCATCAATGCAAAGTCATTACTGTTGACACATGAGATAAGGTATGCGTCACCATTTGTACGGTATGTTTTATTAGTAAGTCCATTAGCTAAGGTGTGCGTCATGCTAAAGCCTTTTTTGTTTTCCTTTCAGTTACTTAGTGGGTTTGGTTCAGTTAAAATGTGTTTGACTTTAATATCAGTAATTTAGCACCACTTGTATTCCTTCACTTCTTTGGGTTTTATGACTTGGGTTTCATTTTATTTTTGTATATAATTGTATATACATGCTATATAATCATATATACGTAGTTGATTTAATGTTGTGTTGTATCATAACAGCTAATCTCTGGGAATTTATTTCTTTTAGTTCTTTTCTGTATCCTGAGCTAGTGGTATAACAGTAACAAAGGAAATGTACCTTCTTCTTCCTAATTTATCTCGTGCAAATTATTTGAAAGACATAAAAGAATGTAGTCAGATTAACTTAGACATGAAGGGAATTTACTAAAATAAAACTAGTTATTCTTTCAGCTCAGTGTTGATGAGAGTATACTGAAGAGGAGAGAATTCTCTCAGGAGTATTATGCAGGGGAAGTGACCCTAATAAATCAAGAAGTGCTAAATCCTTTATTGTACAGCACATGTACATACTTGTTACTAGGACTGCAATAAAATCCACTATTATATTTAGGGAAACTGTAGTAGTTTTCAAAAGCAATGCATCAATAGCTTTAGTGTGCGTGTTCATGATGCATTTATTTTCTCTCAGTTTACTGTTTAGAAATATCCAACCCAGGCTCATTCTGAAAATACACTTCTATATACATTTCTGGAGATCACCAAATATGTCCCAGGATGTAGTTTTTTTTTTTGTTTTTTTTTTGCAGTTTTTGTATTCACAAATTCACCAGAGACCGTTGTGTGCGCTTTTTGGGATCTTAAATTTCTCTCGAGAGTGCCTTTTGCATCTTCTAACGTCAATCCCCCAGAGGCCGCTGTCGACTGACTGTTTGACTGACTGGCCGATCAACTGACCCACGCTCCTCCTTCACTAAACCCAACCAATTGTATTGATTGACCCACCACCCACTTCCCTAATCCAACCAACAAATTTTAGAAGCATTCCAGAAAAAGAAAAGCCACATTTTTAACACATTTCCAGATTTGACTACATTCTCACCCTGTTATTTACTTGTTTTATTTTTTTTGGATTCTGTTTTTGTCATACATTTTGGATTTCTGTTTTTGTCATTTTTTTGGATTTTG